CGTTCACCAGCTGCGAGAACGGCAACAGCGAGACGTTGCGTCGCGACGTCGTCGCCGATTTAAATCTGCCCTCGTTGTCCTCATTTTCCGATTCATCGTCGGAGAAGATATCGTCCATCATATCGCCAGCGTCCAACTCCAGGAGATCGTCTGTCTCCGCATTTTCCTCTTCGGGTGGCGTCGGCACCTCCACCGCAACAGCTGCACAGTCATCCGCTTTCTGTTTCAATCTGATGATCCCCTCCTTGATTGGTTTCGTGTCTTGGAATTTCTTCTTTCTCGCCTCCAAAACGGGATCGTCGCTCTGAGATGCTGGTGGTTCAGGCGTTGGAGTGCGTTTCCTTTTAACGACGGGTGCTGCCGCCGGCGTCGCCTCCTCCTCCTTCCTCGTACCCAAACGATCGCGCACAGATAATTTGGGCGGAGATTTGCGCGATGCTTTCGGTGAAACCTTCCTCTCGGTAGAGTTTCTGCGTCGGGGAGAGGTCACTCTTCTCGGCGCTGCGCGTCTTACAGGCGATACTCTCTTTGGAGATGCTGATCGAGGATACCTCCTCGGCGATGGACTCCTCGATTTCCTGATAACGGGCCTCTGTGTCGGCGATGGAGAGCGCGAAAACGATCGTCTCGGCGACTTCTTCCGCCTCTCAATTATCTCCCTGTTCTGCATCACGAACGCCGCACTTCTCGGCGACAGCGGCGCCATAGTGATCGTACTTAAACCGGTGTTTATGTTGAGCGGAGATAAAGGCCTCTGCGGGAAATTTGGCGGCGGTATTAACGGATGAAACAACACAGGCACCGGATTATTAACGATCAGAGGTGGCTGCGTGTACGGCCTCACGTTCTTAACGTAATGCATTTTATTAGAATAAAAGTCCTTCCTCACCGGTTGCTCCTTAATCGGCGAAGTCTTTCTATTTGCGATGGGCGATTTTATTTCCTCATCTTTTTTCACTGGTGGTTCCTCCTTAACAATCACTTCCTCTTTAACAACAGTTTTCTCTTCAACTTTAACATCTTCGCTTTCAGAATTTTGCCTCTTGACCTTAACCTTTTTAGGCTTAGCTTTTGTGACTTTCGGGACTTTCTCCCCAGATATCTCATACTCAAGCTCCTGCATCAGAGCCTCCAAGCTGTTGGCCCTTTTCAATTTGCCAGGACTCGTGTCACCATCAGATTTTTCATTCTCCAACTGCTCATCCTCACTATCAGAGTCATTGTCAGACTTGTCGTATCGATTGAATTTGCTCTTCTCCTCTTTAGTCTCCCCCTTCACTGTGTTGTTATTGCAATACCTGTCTTGGGGCAACGTCAACTTGGGGATTTCCATGACTTTCTCCTGGGGCAGCTCTGGCGCCGTCTGTATCGCAATCAGGTTGGTGCTCCTAACTCTCCCATTGAATTGACCCTTTTTAAATGACAAATCAATATAATTTTTTAACACTGATGTAATGGTAACACTTACATTTCTGGCGCCCCGACCTGGTCCTGAATGATGGAAACCCCACATCCTCTTTGCATTGCCAAACTTGTTGTGGCTGTACGGCATCTGAAGCGCTGACTTACCACCTCTGCCATGGTGATGATTGTCAGCTTTCTCTGGTTTCTTGAGCGTTTGCAGAGCTGCCATTCTGAGCAGTTCCAGGTCATCCTCCTCTTCGGACATATGGCCTTTACCCTGTTGTGGTGATAACAGTTATTAGGGGATGAAACTCCAAAACTTACAAATTCAAATCAAACATCGATAATTTACCTGCAGGGACATGTCCATGGCGCTGTTTGATTTCGGTGGCAACTGATTTCCTCCGTCTTAATCCGTAACTTCTGCACTCTCACAACAAACAAACAAAACTGATAGCCAAAATGGCGGAATGACTGCTGCTGCCGCTACAGAACCACGAATACCAACCCAACAAACCTAAGAAATCTGCAGGCGTGCCAACTTGAATATTTGATTAGTTGAGGGAAAGTTCAAAAAGTTTGAGAAAATAAAGAGTAGATAAAGCGGAAATGGTTTATTCGTCGCTAATTTTCATTCGACGCATCTCTCGAATCCGATCTTGGATTTGCTGGTTAATGACCAGTCGGTATTTATCTCCCTCCCCGAGAGCCTCCATCTCTTTGAGCCATTCCTCGCGCTCTTTTATCTCCTGCTTGATCTCATCGAATCTATTCATTTCCTTCGGCTCCTCTCGCTTCTGCTTTCTGGCCTCGACAATTGGCGGTTTTCCCTTCCTCCCGAAAGCCATCCTCTGCTGCAGCTCCTCCTTCGCTTTCTCTCTGTCCACCCGCGGAACTGTCGGCGTGAATTGCTCCCTGCTGTAAGCGCCGGATTTCAGAATCGAATCCAACGATCGACGTTTGCTGCTGCCAGGTCTAATGTACACTTTGGGTTCTCTGTTTCTGCTTCCGCCTTTCCTCTCTCCAACAGCAAGAGATGGCAGAGGTTCACCAGATCTTAAAGAGTAATTTATCCTGTTCCTTTGCATCGTCGTCATTTTACTTTCGTTGATCAGAGCTACACAAAAATCAATGCAATATATAAACAAATTTACAATAGATATTTTTATACTCACTTTGCAGGAATCGAGTCGTCTCCGGGCTGTAGTTGACCTTTGCGTGCTGAAAGACGCCGCCCTTGGCCACGTTCTTGCTGGGCCATTCCATTTGATTTGCTAAACTTTTACTAACAAAGTCTACAACTTCAATTTTCTTGCACAATTTCCACGCAACTTTTCACTTCCACGTCTAACCAAACAAAAAAAAAAAAATCAGCTCGCTGTTTATTCATCAATAGTGATACCATGGAAACGCTTATTTATATATCTACAGGGTGTCTCTTTTAGTTTTGCATTCCGTTCTCGATTTCTAGCTAGATAACAGTAATAATAATATATACAAGTTAATTCAATTATGTGTCTGTGCGATGAGATTCATAGAGGAAATTGCGTGTGAGCGTGATTGAAGCAAATTGGGAATTGTCGAAAATTGGGGCGCATCCGCTTTAAAAAGGCAGCGCTCGAAATTGTGAGGATCAAGCGGGCGCCGCTACTGTCAATTCGACGATGCTTCGAGCGCTTGTCCTGCTGATCCTCGTCACGGCTGGTCACGATTCCTGCGATTTCAGGTGAGAGAGAGAAAAAACCGTTTACATTTATTACGTTATTGTTATTGAGAGTATCCAGGCAACGAAGTAAACACGTGGCTGCGGTGATTTTGGCGCGCGGCGGCTCCAAGGGGATTCCCCTGAAGAACCTGGCGCCGGTCGGCGGACGTAGCCTGCTGCGAATCTCGCTGGAGGAAGCGCTCTCCGTCGGTTTCGATAGCGTCTGGGTGTCGACCGAACATCCGGACATCCGTTCCGAAGCTGAAAGACGTAAGTGCATTTTCTTAAAACAATTGAAAACAATTTGACGTTTTGCATATTAACTGATGGATGAATTCAGTGCCAGGTGTTAATGTCCATTGGAGATCTTCGGAGAACGCGGAAGATTGGTCTTCGTCGGTGGACGCTCTGCGCGAATTCGTCTCGTGTCGACCGGAAGTGGACGCGGTGGCGCTTCTGCAGTGCACCTCGCCGTTTCAGAACCGGAAGTACTTGGGGGAAGCGCTGGAGCGCATCAGGAGGAGCGACACGATCTGCGTCTTCTCCGTGACAAAGTGCAAATTAGATTAAGCGAAAATCGTGTTTGGAGCTAACTTTCTATTTCGTTGACAGGTCATCGCTTAAGTTGTGGTCTCGAGCCGGAAGTGACGGCTCTTTGACGCCGGTCAACTTTGATCCCGGTGATCGGCGAAGGCGGCAGGATTACGACGAAGACGAGAAGAAGGAGGAGAAGGAGGTCCGCTACTACCACGAGAACGGAATGTTCTATTTCGCGGACCGCGACCTCATCGAAAGCGGACTTCTGCAGAGCAAAAAGTGAGTTTTGCGAAAGAACGCCGCGCGCGCAATCCGTTCTCGTCTCAACCGCCGCCGTCTCCCAGCAGCAGCAACAGTCGTCGTCTCGGCGACCTTAATAATAATAATAGAGACGTATCACACCGCACGGCTGGTTCTCAGCTGCACACACACAGCATTTGAAAGTAAAAGTCCTTCTTTTTTTGTTGTTGTTGTGCTTCCTATACTACTCTCGCACGGTTTGCATTCCACGAAAAAGGCCGCGCAGCGAAAGCCAGGTGTTGTCGCAATTGTTTGAATTTGCTGACCCTTCTGCTGTTCAATCGTTCGAATTACACAGGTAAACCGATTTTCACGAATTTATAATCCAGTTGATATATTATTACCATAGCGACAAACAAAAACAATTGTTAAATGTAGGCGTTTTGTGGTGTTTTTAATGGCAGTTTTAATTACGTTCATTTCGCTGGTCGCATGGCATAAACATTGAATTTGCGCAAAGTTGTAAATCGTAATTATTATCGAATTACGTGTATTCACGTTCTTGTTTTCGTTTCGCGATGTATTAACTTTAAACAAAACAAAAACAAAAAATACATAATAAAAGAAGATGAGAGCCGCTCACTTCGTTAGTCATGGGTCCCATGATCCACGGATTACGTGATTTTCAAGTGCAATATCGATTTGATTGCAGTTTCAGCCTTGGATTTGCCCAGTTCTTTAATTAGCTTAATTCAATTACAGCTGAGAGTATGCATCCGCTGCGGTGGACTAGACTGCACGTTACGAGCGTTTATTACAAGTGCGTTTTCAATCAGCTAATTGTCGAATTATCAATAATTGATTGATCTTGAGCGTCGGGTCATCTAATTAATGAATATTTTTTTAAATAATTGTTTTCTTTTTCCAATTATTATTTTTTTTATGAATGTTTTGATGCGGGAAATTCGTAGTTTCCGACTTCCGTTCGTCATAACCGGTCGCGGCAGCATCCGTAACGTTGTTTATTGGGTTGTCGCCTTCCACCCATAGCAACCTGTTGCGTGGTTGCACGCGTTGCCAGCTAGGCAATAGCAGGAATCGCGGTGTTTTGTTTTTTTACTGCTGCTGCTGGTGGTGGTTAGTGCAAATGAGAGTCATCCGGTGACACACGAGATGCGAGCGTATCGGATCCGCCCCCCAAAACGTAAAAGGAATACCTCGATAATATACGTATACGATTGATACCCGTTTCCAGTTGCCAGCTGATCGTCGTGCCCGACTCCGAGAGTCTCGAGATCGATTACCCCTGGCAACTGTATGTAGCAAACAAACTGCACGACTACCATGGCAACAGAATTGACTGAAGGTATGGTTGTATCTGGATCTTAATTTTGCTCTTCATACTAATTCATTGTTGCAAATAGGTTTGATACCTGCTGTGTACAGGGACATCTTTGAGGTGTGCTCTCACAATGGGTCACCCATCCACAAGGAGGTGTACCAGGTGCTGCTTAACCAATGCAAGCTGGATGCTGCCCTGCTGAAGACCATTTGGAATTTAGCAGGGCCTCCGCAAGGGGAGGTAACCAGAACCAGTTTGTACAAGACCCTGGCTCTGGTGGCCTGGACACAGCAGGGAAAGTCGCCCACGGATAAGCTCTTCCAGAACTTCAATGGCAACGGTAAAATGCTCCTGAAAATGTTGTGCTAAATGTTAAATCTTTAAGTTTTCTTCAGAATACCCGTTACCGCAGTTGGGCGATTTGAATCCGGTGCGCAATCTTAAGCTTCAAATCAATTTGAAGGATAATCCGGCGACGCTGGGATTAACGTACGGCGAAATAATGCAGTTGGATAGCATCTGCGTGGAGCTGGTGCCCGAGAAGAAGGGACTCTTCCTGAAACATTCCGAATACGTGATTACGTCGCGCCGTTTCAATTCGAAAGCAACGAGACGATACAACGACTTCGTCGCACTTTACGAGCTTCTTCTGGCGAGATTTCCCTATCGCATAGTGCCCAGGCTGCCGCCCAAGAAGATCGTTTCCGATTCGCATTTCTTGGAGGCCCGACGACGAGGACTGCACCGCTGGATGACGTTGGTGTGCCGCCATCCGACGATCAGTCGCGATCAACTGGTTGCATACTTTCTCACCGATCAAGGACCCGATTTCCAGTACCGTATCCGGGATATCTACAGGCGTGCACCGGACGAGTTCATGACCTCGGATTTCGCGGCAAATTCAAAAGTAATCTCGTAGTACGTGAATTAGAGAAAAAAACGATGATCTAATTATATTTGTTGCTGCAGCATTTGATTCCCAACGAATGCACAGAGTTCGCCGCCAACAGAGAGCAGGTCCGGACTCTGGTGCAGATCATCGGCAAGCTGAAGTATTTGGCGGATGCAGAGGTGGAGCGAGCGCAATGCAGGGCCAAAGATGCGGAAGACTTGGCCGCGCAGTTGAAAGCTCTAGGATCGATTAACATCGGTAATGTGGCAACAGGATCGTGGACTGGAATGCAAAAGGGTTTCGTCACCATTTCCGGGTAAGAGTTGGATCACTTCGAATGATGTTACGACATTGCATACGTTTCGTGCGCAGGGAGTTGCTGTCGGTGTCCAACAGATCGCAGCAGCATGCAAATCTGGAGCAGATCACCGTATGCGAACGGCTCGGACTTCTGCTGGACATGCTCGTAGCACATCGCGACCTCTGCGAGCGTCTCGAGAAAGGATTGGCCCACGACCATCAGACCGCTCTCGCTAAGATGCTCTCTCTGAAGAAGAGAAAAATCCAAGGCGTCATTCGTGGCACCGACGTGAGTCCGCAACAGCATCACCTTTGTGCCATTTCGGGTTATCTAATTCGATTTTCAGACGGAAAGCGTTGAACAGCTCGAGGCCAAGATGCTGACCCAGGAGAACGTAATCACGAACATGGAGCTCAGATCTGATTTCAGTCTGTATTGCGTTCACATGGAAACGCAACTCGTCTACGCTTACTTGGAGACGCTCTCCTCGATATTCAACAGCAACGTCTCGCTGAAAATCCGAGCGCATTCCGAAGTAATGATCGCAGATGGCACTGTCTTAAATCAATAATTTATTTTTGCTTTGTTGTTACAGCTGGCGGAGATCTGGAAGCAAGTGATGCCAACCGTCGAAAAGTTCCTGCCCGTCGATTACGGCGCGAAGAACGGAAAGAGTTAGCCTTTTTCTTTTTCTCAGATTTATCATTCGACGAATTACTTACATAAATATATTTTTATACGTAATCAATTTATAGAACTAAAAGCGTTGTTTGGCATCGGGCATTATTACAACAACAACAACAAAAAAAGAAGAAACAGAATCAATATCGAATAATTATGACATAATACTAGTTTAGTGCAAAATCGCTGAATTTTTTTTCTGGGTTGGCAGTTTCGAATATCACTTTCATAATTTATTCTTAACATTAGCAACTTTTTAAACTATGTAAATAATCGACGATGAAGGTAACTGTGTATGTGATTTATAGAGAAATTTATAAATATATTCAATACTAAAATATACTTTTCGACTCTATTATTTGTTAGAAATATGGTCAGGGTGTCTAGTCAACCAGCAGTTGGTAGTGCCAGTCCGTGCAGCGCCCTCTGTTCATGGTCCAAACTATGATTGGTCTGTCATATGCATATTTTAACCTCATTCCGAAATTTGGTAAATTATCAATATTCATACTTACATTTAATCGGGGGGGCGGTTGGTGGATGCGCCGGGTGATGAAAAGGGTTACAAAACTTTAATACATCCCCTACAATGTATGAGTCACGACGAAATCACATCTTCGTATATATATATTTTTTTTTCACATACTCATTATTTTTTTTTTTTTTAAGTTCTTTACACTTNAAAACGAGAATCGAAACAATCGATACGATGTATACATATTTAAACAACAACGAAAAAACATCTCCATGGTAACTCAAATATAAGGAAACAAACGAAGGGTATTACAATTGATCAATCGCTTAACATCTAATTTTACATGTAAACTTAACGCACTCGCACTCAAAAATTATCTCCGTCTCTCACTCACTCACTCTCGCTCTCGCTCACTTATTAAGAACGTACGAAAGTAAAAATCAACGAAAAATCAACAACTTAAATCGGAATTACATAATATATAATAATTATATATTTTATTTTATTTTTTTTGGTTAGTTCTTTTCGAACGTCTTTTTTTTTCCTTGTTTGCTTTGGTTTCATACGAAAAATAAATATAAATTATTTACAAAATCAATCGATCAACGAACAGTGGTAGTGTGTACATACATTTATATTTATATTATATATATATATAACGCGCGCAGCAGTACATATTCAATTGTTGTTTATTTTCAACGGTTGGCAACGAGTTATTCTCACACGTCATCAATCAAAAAAAAGAAAAAAAGAACTTGATCCGGTTGAAGAAATAATAAACCAATTTCACGAGTCTATATATATGTACAGGGTGGTGTGGTGGGTGGTAATGTGTTCGGATATGACCGTGAAAACTCAGTCGAATATTGCGCCGAGTAAGTATATTTATTTATATATATATATAATAAGTTTCTTCTAACCTGTTTTTAGAATTTTCAAATAATTTTAAGTTTTACGTCAACTGTCAACGATTTCCGGTTACTTGTTTCTTCTGTCAAGTTCCGTACCTAAACCACTAGATTCTTTTTTTTTTTGGGTAATTTTAACCTTAACTCTTAAGATTAGCAATAATAATGATGTTCATTCATAATTCCGCCTTATTCATTATCAATTAATAATATGAAATGTTACGCGCTCGTTTCGTTTTTGTTTTTCTTTTGCGAACGAATAAAAGCAAAATAAACACGAAAGAATAAACAAACGAATCGGCGGTGAACTTTTAAAATTTAGTTAATTTCCTCAATATTAATTACGTTTCCTCCCTAAAATTACACTTCGCGAATCACTAGAATTTAAACTGTATTTTAATTTCTCTCTCTTTTTCCTTACGAAAAAAACGAATTGCACTGACCCCGACCCCAATTATTATAATGCGAAACCAAAAAAGTCAGTAAACGGACGAAGATCGCCCGTCCGTTTACTCAATAACAAAATTAAACCTTCCTTCCACTTCTTCACCCCATCCGCCCTCAATCTTCAATTTATGTTTCTTTCTTTTAAATTTACACAATTTTATAAAAACGCACGGCTCATCAATTTCGGTTATTACGTTTGATGTGGACTTGTAGAACCGTCTCTTTACATATTTATTTATTTTTTTCTTGTTTAACTTTGAACACATTATTCTTCTCTCTCTCTCTCTCTCATAAGTTACTTTCTGGTATTTTTCTTCTCTCTCTCTTCATCAAAACGAGAACGCGAATGACCTGAATGAATCTCTTCTTTTATTCAATTATAAATGTATTTATTCTGTTTCGCTTGTGACCTTTAATAGGGATACAAATTTGCATCGTCGATCGATCGATTCAAAACGCAAAGTGACCATTGATGATCACCATAGGAACAGAATCAATAGCATTTGATAGAAACTGTCAAAATTGACGTTTCATTCGTGACTGAAGAGATGCTCTCTTTTTAGATGGATTAACGATTGATTGTGCAACAGCAATCAATGGAATTCGTTTAAAATTATGCATACAACCGAAACATATCACTTCGTCGCGTGTTTGCGTAATCTAAGTTTCACTTAAATAATGACTAGCGCTACTAAACCTTCTCGTTTTCTCGAACTTCGGTTTCTCATCTATCAGTATACTATATAATATATAGAGTGCCGCATAAAATTATCTATATAAAAATTTGCCTAATCCGTGGAGTAATCGAACGTTCTGTTTGTTTTTTGTTTTTGTTGTTGTTGTTGACGTAGGCAAATGTAGATCGCTCCGCGTTCCTGATTTTGCCTACGTCCGGCCATTCGCGTTTCGCCTCTAATTAATCTCGTTCAAATATATATATTAGTTAATTAATATTTCTTATTTATCTCTCTCTTGATTATTAATTAATTAATTGAATGTCGATTTATAAAATCAACAGTCGATAAAAATTTCCTACTAATTTACGTTTCCTTAAATATTACATGTTCATATTTCATGTTTATATATAGTCGCGTGGTTGGCCGAGAGGAGGGGTTTCACAATTGAATTTGTTTTGATGCTCATCTGTTTTGTTGTTAGGGCATCCGCGTCGCTACAACAAAATCACCAAGGCACTTTCTCTTTTTGTCTTTGCATTTGATCTCTTTCTCGTGCCGTAATTTTTTTTTTGGTGCGGTTCACGAAACCCCTTCCTCGACTTTTCTTTATATTTTTGCGTTCTGAAATATTTCGAAGACGTTTTTCTTTCATTCATTCACCTTTTTTTTTGGTTTAGAGTATCTCTGTCTCTGTCCCCCCATCCCCCTCCCCGTGTCAGAACATGAAGATGTTCTCTGTTTGATTGATTTTCAGTGTCTTTGTTGTAATAGCTTACACTTCGCAGGGGATGGTCGGCGTGTCGGTGAGACTGAGCTTGACGACGGTCTGCTCTTTGCGTCAGGCGGCCATCGTTCCAGCGGTGCACGGAAGGACCGG